TGGCTAAAAAGTTGAATAGCTCTTTATATAAACCTGTTTTGGTGGGTATTACACTTTTATTTCGCTACAGTACCCGTTATACTGTCAGTGTTATTCTAATCTTCAGTTTCACTTCGTTTCAACACTATTACTGTTGGAAGTTCCATTACTCGTAGTAATCTCACTGAAGTACGCAAGTGAAGGTTGTGCAGCTGTACGAGCCGCAGACGCCACGAATATGCTTGTCGCCATACATTCAGGATTGCATTCGGCATATTTCATCTACAATCACGAAGATTTTAGGGTAATTTCAATTTTCAATATTCCTTACAGGATAGCTCATGCTTTGTAAACTTTCCTTTCACCTTTCAGCAAGGAATTCGAGCTACTTTTCTACGACTGCGAGTGCTTTCTTCACTTTGATGATGACAACCCATTTCCTCAGACTTCATCTTATCTATATTGGAAAATATTCATGTATTTAGAGTGTATAGGAATTGACGCACATTCATTCATCATATTGATTACGTGTACTATTTATAACTGGCTGATTGATAGAACGGGTGAAGAAACCCTTCTTTGAAAATCTCCTTTAATATTTGCAATTTTGCACTGTATGTATATATCTGCTTAAAACCTTGGTCACAAATTCACTGCGTATAATGATGACAGAAGAAACAGAAGTGGGAAGTATCTGGTGCGTTATTAGCACAAAATGGTCACATCTATAAATAGTTGTAAGTCCAGAAAGCACTTATCCTTTTACCCAGACATAAGGCCGCTAAAAGTAAGGTAGTGCGTGAACCCCGCGTGACAAGGCGATAATGTATAAAATGCCCATGAAAATATAAATATAGTATGGTTATATTCTCATAGGTATTTTACAGTATAGATTCTTAGTATATCAAACGTATATATAGTTTAGAGGTCACATATACGACAACACAACCGCATTTTCATCAATTTTGATTTAGGATATATTAAGCTTCTACTACTTTCTAAAAGTAAATCGTCCTAAAAATGCCTCTTGATCAATTTGACGTAATGGTGAATCCAAATACTTTGACTATGGAAGACTGAATGGGAATGATGGAACATGAGAAGGAGGGAAACCCAAATGAGAATGATGTTAATCGTAGGACTTTAAATGTCTTCTACGTCCTTGTGATATTTAGAGTGTAGGAAAAGAGGGAAAACTTAAAGGCAAGCGCGGCGGAAACGGCCATATACAGGGTGAGATGCGAACTTATGCGAAGGCGGTCTTATAGCCGGGTAAGATAACAATTTAAACGTGATACTTGAGCCAATGTAGCTGGGCATTTCATCATATCGACTTGGCATTTCATCATATCGACTTCTTATCAAATACGAGGATTTGACAAAAATAGGAAAGAAGTAAGAGATAAGAAGTTGTACAGGTAGAGGTTGCCAAAGGTTGCTATAAGAGACACTGAAGTGAACTCCAAAGCAAAAAAAAA